GGAAAGAGCACAAATCCTGACGGTGAACGCCCCTCATAGGGAGCAACACTGCTCCAGGGACTGGCTTCAGCAGGGTCCCCAAAGTGTCACATTTCCTTCACGTGCATGTTTTCAGCATTTGTTCTCAGACACCGGTCCATCCGAGTCACCAAGTCCTCGCTCTGCTGCGGTACCTGGCAGAATTCCTTGGGATCAGCCATGCTTTGCTAAGGTAATGAGCCTTCTGGCAAGGCATTGAACACCGCACTAAGTCAACTTCTCAGCTTGCCATACAGTAATTCAAGGCCTTAACTTTGCTTCTGTAGCCTATACACACATGTGAGAATCACTTGGGATTCAGAACATGAGTGTACAAGATGCCTTTGAATTGGTGGCTTTATATTTAAAGGTTTAGGTTATACTTATTTGTCTCAGGCAGTTACACATAAATCTGAATAATAAAAATGAAAAGAAGCCAAAGCAGCATTTTCACTGGAAGACAAATTTCAAAGACTTAGCTAATCATATTGCATCTTACAGAAGCGTCCAAACCCTCTTAAAACCATCTGTATACTTTCAAAAAGGAAAAGATTTCAGTATCAAGAAGCACTTTGCAATTATATGAACTATCCAAGTTATCTGTTTTGGTTTCTTTCCATCAACTGCTAAAATCAATTTAACGTACAACAGGAAGCCTTAATCTTCTGGCAAAACAATGTTTGTTTGTGACTAAGTTTTTGCTGGATAAGATAAATTAATTGTAAGATCTGTTCAGAGTTCTAAGTACATCATGACATTTATTAATTTTTCTGTAGCAGCAATCCTACAAGATCCTTTGCAAATGGGGCTACATAGTATTATACAACAATCCTCTTCCCTTCTCTGACCATCAGCAAAGATATAATCTTTATACCTAAAAGGATACTGCCTCTACCAGCTCAGGCAAAGGAGGCTGCATTAGCAGTAGGCTTTTAATCTTTGTAATGGAAGAAAGAATAGCTACAGGAAGACACAAAAGGGAAGTCATCGCTACTGCTACTGTTTAGCTAGGATTATTACGATCAAGCTCTTTGTTCACGCTTATTGTCAAACTTAGTGACTCATTTTACCTTGTCACATAAAGTATGTGGACTTTCCAGATGAGCAGTAGGAATATTGCTTACCTTGTTGAACCGGTGAATAGGCATTGGTCAGAAAACGAAAGTGCCCTTTATTGTACCAGCAGATCAAGGACATGTTTCCCTTCATTCTTATTCTGTACTGCCCTCTGGACTGGGGAGTTTCAGGGTTGTTCAGCATGGATGGAGGTAGGCCTGTGCAGTCACTCTTCCTGGCGCTCAGCAACCCACAGCAGTAAATCTCTGTATGTGAACAAAAATTCCCTATCAGCAAGCCATTGCATAGACCCAGAAAGCCAGAGCAGTGGAGCAAGTCTGAATAACTTGACTAGAGAAAGAGCTTGTCCTACAACTTTCTAGTCCAACAGATACATTAGCCAACTGGCCTTCTCCTGTAATGCCAAAGATTTGTGTCCTACATGAATGTCTCTGGAAACCAAGACAAGTGCAGAAAGCCTGCTCTCGATGAAATGTATTGACACCACCTGCACAGTCATGATAAAATGACAAGGAGAAGAATTCAGGGTATCTTCCTAACAACATCTATAATCTGTGTAATAGTCTTCACAACACGTTTAAAATTGGACTGGGGGAAAAAAATAAAAAGCATTGATATGCATTATGGAACAAATCAGAACTTACGATCCAAGTGAGTCTGTCCTAGTTTCAGCTGGGAGAGTTAATTTTCCTCCTAGTACCTGGTATAGTGCTGTGGTTTGGGTTTAGTATGAGAATAATGTTGGTAACACACTGATGTTTTAGTTGTTGCTAAGTAGTGCTTACACTAAGTCAAGCACTTTTCAGCTTCTCATGCTTTACCGACTGAGAAGGCTGGTGATACACAAGAAGCTGGGAGGGTGCACAGCCAGGACAGCTGACCCAAACTGGGCAAAGGGGTATTCCATGATGTCAGGCCCAGTATATAAACTAGGGGAAAGCTGGCCGGGGGGCTGCTGCTTGCGGACAGGCCGGGCATCGGTCGGCTGGTGGTGAGCAATTGTTTTTCATTTGCACCACTTGTCTTTCTTGGGCTTTATTTATCTTTTTTGTTATTTTCCTTTTCACTACAATTTATAATAATAATTTTATTTCAATTATTAAACTGTTCTTACCTCTACCCACAAGTGCTCTCACTTTTACTCTTCCCATTCTCTCCCTCATCCCACCGGAGGGGAGTGAGCGAGTGGCTGTGTGGCACTTTTAGTTGCTGGCTGGGGTTAAACCATGACAGTCTTTGACATTTAACTAAGAGAATAAACTGTGGAGGGAGCAGGGAGGGAGGG